ATACCAGTATTGTTACCTCTTACAAGCAATCCAGTACACAGACCCTAGATACTTTGATTCTCCCATCCATATTCCCAAGGCTTTCAATTTGTAGTTTTCTTTTCATAATTACTTAGTCTCTTAAAGCTTCCCATCTTAGAAACACCACGCCCACCCCCCCACCTTGAATTCTGCTGTTTATAGGGAGGTTCTTGGGCCATGTTAATCCTCTGGGCTGTAGACTTGGGGTCACCAGAAAAGGAATGACTAGAAACCAGTTGGACTGTGTATGACTGGAGGACAGCTGTCCATTCTGTGCCAGGAAAATGTTTGAACTGAACGCTGGGAGTTATTCTCTTCCTGACATAGACCTTTGTCCCATCTCATCCCCCCCCCCCCTTGCTTTATTATCACAGCAATTTCGAGCCAGAGGGAGAGGCTGGGGCAGAGGCAACTACTCTGGTAACAATAACAACAGTAGCAATGATTTTCAAAAGAGAAGCCGGGAAGAGGAATGGGATCCAGAGTATACGCCCAAAAGCAAGAAGTATTACTTGGTATGTGTCTGGGGCTAAGGAGGAGGGCTTTTGGTTCACATAGTAGAAGATTCCAGGGCCTTAATTGGTCTGTCCAGCCCTGTAATTAATGTTTGTGCAGGCGTATTACACTGGTGATGTGTACTTGTTAGACAGTACAGTGTTAGACATGGCAGTCCTCTAGAGATAAGTAAGTCCTAGCCCCAGTAGGGATTGTCATTTAAGATGCTTATGGATTCAAGAATAAGCAAGAAATGTTGCTCTTGCCTTTTTAGTTTATGAACTTCCTTTACTGCTCACTCACCCCCAGCTTCTGTCACTCCTTTTCTCTGAGGAAAAGGATATATCTCCAAAATGAAATGCTACTGGGGCTTCTCACATCTGAGCTGTGAATCATTTCCATGCTCTTCCTGGGCTTCTCAGGTTGGGGCCTTTCTAGGCCAAGTTACCAACCAGTGAGTGAGGACCCTTGGCATGCAGTATGTCACAGCAGGCCCATATCCAAGCAGGTGTAACTCAAGTTTTGTAACCAAGGTAAACTTGCAGCTGTCCACCATTTGAATGGCTGGCATGGGTTTACATTGTCAGTTACATAGCTTGGAAATTCGGGGTTTTGTGTGGATGACCGTGCATGGCCACCCTCACTTTTCTAGGGCTGCTGGGAGCCACTCGGAGGCTTCTGGAGGACCCTTGAACTTTTGTCTAGGGTAGTGCAGTTGGCTGGGCCCAGGATAGATGCTGAAGTGGGACTGCTATGGAAGGAAAAATTAAAGGCCATACAAAGACCCTCTAGCCTGCCCCTGACTGTCCCCTGAAAGAGGTTTGCCAGCCTGATTTTTTAGTATGGTGTACATGCGGTTGTGGACAGAAGCAGCTGGCACTTCAGCTAAGCTGACCTGTAGGACAAGGCAACCCTAGTTTATGTGAGTGGATGGTTTAGACTCTGAAGTAATGAGACAGATGAAGTAACAAGTTCTGGTTTCTAAAATTAAAGAGGGGAATACAAGATGAGAGGCTGGGTGGGAGTGGGATGGGGATTGGGAAGAGCTGGAGCCCCAGATATGTCTGACCCCCCTCCCTATACCTTGCCCCTGTCCTGAAGGTTGAACCCTGGCCTTCTACTTGCTAGGCACACCATACCCCCAGTTCTATCCCAGCTGTGTCTTCTTGAGTGTTCCCTTTCTTAGTGGCCCAGAAACCCAGTTCAGGCATCATTTCATATTTTAGTGCAGTTGGCTTTCTCAGATTAATCCTTTGAGAAGTGGTATACTAAATAATGGAGTTAATTTAGGTTTTGGCGCTATTTTCTCATTTGCATAGTGGGGGTGATAATGATAGGGTATATTTGAGAAGTAAATTAGATATAATTGTTTTCAGTGCTGGATGAAGGTTATTGTTAAAATGTGCAAGCTGCTGTCTCAAAATTCCTGCAGCACCCACCTTACACTCTAGAACTGAACCAGAGGCAGAGCTGAATGAATAGGAGATGGGGAGAAGCAGAAAAGCACAAAAAGACTGGGCTTGGGCACAGGTTCTTCAGGAGAAAGGCACGTCTGGGTGGGCACAGAAAAGAGAGCCCTGGGCCTGGGTATTTAGCTCAGTGGTTCCGCTGCCTGCCTCACAAGCACAAGGTCCCGAGTTCCATCCCCGGTACCGAAGGAAAAAAAAGAAAAAAGCCCTGTTACTAACAGCTGTTTTCTTTCCTCAGCATGATGATCGAGAAGGTGAAGGCAGTGATAAGTGGGTGAGCCGGGGCCGGGGCCGAGGAGCTTTCCCCCGAGGTCGGGGCCGGTTCATGTTCCGGAAATCCAGTACCAGCCCCAAATGGGCCCATGACAAGTTCAGTGGAGAGGAAGGGGAGATTGAAGATGATGAGAGTGGAACAGAGAACCGAGAAGAGAAGGACAATTTACAGCCCACAACTGAGTAGGGGCCACTCTTGAGAGACCCCTTGCCCAGGGGAGAGAGGCACTGGGAAGATAGCTGGCGAGGAGCTGAACAGAAGGAGGCTCAAGAAGATTCTGAAAATCCCACCCCACCCCGTCAGCCATGTAGAATCCTACTACAGCGGAAAGCATCCCTGGTGCTGTGTCCCACTGGACAGAGGAAGCCACCACAGAGCCTGGGGTCAGGCCCAGCTCTCAGCAGAACATGACATGTTTGGGCTCTAGCTGTGTTTCTCATTTGTTGTTGGTGTACGGGGTGGGGGCTAGGGTAGGGGAGGGAGAGCAATGCTCGATTTTGGTTTGTTTGCTGTTAGAAACCAACAGTTTTGTTTTTAATTTTCATTTCATTTGGAGCTAAGAGGACTAATTTGATGATTTTCATTCTCTTCTCCCCTGACCTGATTTTAAAGGGCCCCTTTTTTTCTTTTCTTTTTTTAGGCATATGTAGTAATATTAGCAGAAAGATTTAATTTGGGCAACTTTGATTCTTAAAAGAGAAAGCAAAGCATGTTGAAGCGTGTTCACCTCAGTTTGGGACCAAACTGCTTGGATCTTTGTAAAATCTGGTTTTGTATGTCAAGGAGGAGTTTAAGGCCTTTCTGACCACCTTGTGTTCCCCTTTTCTGTGCAGCCATGTGTTACATGGAGTTGCTCCTAACCACTTCCTATGCACCCTGTTCCTGTATTTTCTGATTTCTTCTGGGCTGGGCTTCCCATTCTCCACCAGCAGCTCCAGTGTCCCAAACTTTCTAGCCCTGATGATCCTCAGCAACAGGGGTGGAAACTGGAGGGCAGTTTCTGGTCGGTTTTCTAAGATACTTCTGAATTCTATTATCTTTACAAATATAAAATGAGAAAATAATTTTTTCAATATTTTTTATTAATCTTTTTATAAAATGAAAGAAACGCCTGTGATCGATTAAGGAAGATGGTTATGGTTGGGTGGTTCTTGGGGTTGTGGTTTTTTTGTTGTTATTTTTTTCTTTTCTCTTTTTAATCTTAAGCTTTAAGTTGAAACATTCTCAGACGTTTGGGGGGAAACATCCTCTTACAATGGGCCCTTGTGCTTGCCTTCTGAGGAGGCCGTCCTGAGCAGATGAATCATATGGCATTTGTACATGTTATATGTGAACTGTACCCTCCTCTTCCCCCCAACCTTTGCTTATTGGGCTGTTGTGGTTTCCCCTTTCTTTGCTACATTTCTGTAGTTAAGTTGATTTTACTTGAATGATTCATGTTTAGGGGAAAAAGAAAAACACTCTTAAATTTGTTTCAACTCCTCCTGCAAATAAAAACAATAAATGAAGTGGCTGGTGTATGTGGGCTGTGTTCATTGTTACCGAGTGTGTGTTCCTTGAGAGGGTGGTGGATGCCGCCCACAGCAGTTTCAGGAAGCTTGGAAGAGAAAATGCTTGTGGGAGGCTGGGCCCCCAGCTGCTTCTAACCCCTCTTCAGCCTGTCCCTGCGACAGCAGAGGAACCTCAGCCATTTCTCTGCAGAGCAGTAACTCATTCCCACCCTGGTGGCTTTGCTTCATCCTGTGCCTTGAACAGCCCTAGAGAATCCAGATTTTCACTACACTGTACTGTTGTGAGCAAGGATTTTGGATTCCTCCGTAGTGGTTTAGCAGTCGGGCTGTGGCTCATAGGCTCAGCCTTCACTGCACTGAGCAGGAAGATTACCTGGAAGAAGTGTAGTCCGTGCAGGGGGAGTTAATCTTCAAATTTGCCCAGCTCCAAGCTCGACTGTAAGCTCATAAAAGTTCTTCCGGCTTTCTCAGAGCACTGGGCTTTTCTGAAACCCAACTCGGTCCCAAAACAGGGTTTACTTTGTCCTTCCTCCTGCCCCTTGCAGGAAAGTAGAGGTTTGAAGTCTACAAGGAATACCTTTTTAGTAACAGGAGCTGCCAACTTTTCCATCCAGGGCCTCGTTTGGGGCGGTTGCGTCAGCTAGGTGCCCCACCCTGGCATGTGCTTTTTCCCCACCTCTCCCTGAAGGTAAAAGCTTGGGAGCCAAAAGAGGGTGGGCCCAGGCTTCAAAGGGGAGAGACTGCTAGCCTAGAAAGCCTGAGGGGGCCGGGGATTTAGCTCTGGTTTCGCCGCCGGCTGCGCAAGCGCAAGGATCCGAGTTCGATCCCCGGTACCAAAAAAAACCTGAGGAAGGTGTGACCCCAGCACCAGCCAGAGACCCTAAGGTCCTTAACGCGGGGATGGGGCCAAACCTGTCGAGCCAGGCCGTCCCCTCGCCCACGCCCACTCCCAGCACCTAGAGCCCGACCTATGGCCGCCTCCTTCGCCCCGTAGACCTTCGCACCCTCCGGATCCCCATTTAGTACTCAGTCGCCAGCGGGACGGGCCAGGCACTGGAGGGCGCCCTGGAAGTCATGGGTATGTGCAGAGGGTTTGGGGTGGCTCCTTTATGCTACTGTGTGGAACGGTAAAAATCGACATTACACTAGCACTTCCCGCCCATTCTCTACACTGGGCTTGGGAGCGCTCGCGCTCGGGTCAGTCCGTACGCTCCACCTGACCTTTCCTGAATCGCGACCCTGCCCGGTCCTCCGCCCGCAGAGGTCCTGGTCCTGGACAGATACCGGGCCCAGAAAGAGGACGAGCTGAGCCTGGAGCCCGGGGACGTGGTCCGGCTGGTGTGCCAGGGGCCCGCGAGGAGTTGGCTGCGTGGAGAGCTGGGGGGGCGCTGTGGCCTCTTCCCTAAGCGCCTGGTGCAGGTAAGGTAGTGCAGGGAGCAGGCTAGGGGGGCCTCAAAGCTCCTTGCTCTGGAGCTGAGAGACCCTAGCCTTGCGTTTATCCCTAGGAGATTCCAGAGGCCCTAAGAGTTTCCGGTGACGAGAGACCACACTGCGCGCGCCGCCGACGTGAGCATCCGGGCCGTAGACCCTCCAACTGCTGGACGCGCGCAGGCCGCGCGGCTCGGGAACAGCCGCGGCTGTGGGAGGGACCACGAGGCCGAGTAGTGGCCTGTGATTGGCTCAGAGGGCAATGCTCCGCCCGAGGGCGAGGCCTTAGCTGCAACGGGTAGTGCTCTCGCCTAGCCCCTCCCCCAGCCCAGGCAACCCAGGCTCCCAACAGAGTCTCCCTCTCTTGTCCGTCCCAGGTCACTCCTCCAAATCCCGGGGCCCGCAAAGATGGTGCAAAGTGAACTTCAACTACAGCCCGGAGCAGGCGGACGAGTTGAAGCTGCAAACTGGGGAGATTGTGGAAGTGATAAAGGAGGTGAGGGGATGAGGCCGTGAGAGGGCTTGCGGAAGGGGAATTGGATAAAGTCGGGGAGAGGGGACGAGAAGGAGGAGGGACGCAGAGATGGGGAAGTGAGGGACAGGAAAGAGCGGGTCTTTGGGCAGAACCGAGAGCATAGGTTTCTAGAGACCTTTGGCGCGGAAACAGATGCCCCTGTGTCCTCCCTCTCCCCAGATTGAGGACGGCTGGTGGCTGGGGAAGAAGAACGGGCAGCTGGGAGCCTTCCCATCCAACTTTGTGGAGTTGCTGGACAGTGGGCCCCCAAGTGAGACCTGGACCCTGTGACCCCGTGACCCCCTGGGGCCAGACTGTGCTCTCCAATGGTCCTCCCAGTGACATGAGCCTGTGATCGAGACATCCTGGCCTGACCATGTGACTCCTTTGATGCCCTCCCATGACCTGTGGATTAGCACCCCACTAACCTCACTCTCCCTAACCAGGCCTTGGTAACACAGACCTTCCTCCAGTTAGCCCTGGTTCTCAGCAGACCCCCAAGGTAAACTGAGTCTGAGTGGGCATAGAGGTGGGGAGCTTCTCCTGGGGTGCCGGGAGGCTCATGTTGTCCTCTCTGCTCCCACTAGCCGGGCAGCCTGACCTATGACAGCGCTCCAGACTACCTGCATACAGGTAAGCACCCAACCAGAGAGGTTATCCCCCTTCCAAGCCAGGCCAAGGGAGGAGGGAGGCCTGACTGACGGGGTGGGCCAGCTCCAGTGATTTGCCCTTCCCCCAGTCTCCCACCCTGAGACCTACAGGGCCCTGTTTGACTACCAGCCGGAGGCCCCTGACGAGCTGCCACTGCAGAGGGGGGACGAGGTGAAAGTACTGAGAAAGGTGGGAGAAGAATGGATTGGGGAGGGCTCAGGGAAGGGGGCGCTGAGAGGGTATGGGACCTAGGGAGGAGCTTGGAGGACCTGGCTCAGCTCCCTACCAGCATGTTTCTCTCCCAGACCACAGAGGACAAGGGCTGGTGGGAAGGAGAGTGTCGAGGCCGAAGGGGCGTTTTTCCAGACAACTTTGTGCTCCCACCCCCCCCAGTGAGTACACTTAGGTGGCAGGGTACTTTGGACAAAGTTGGGGTTCATGGCACTCACTGGACACAGAAGGGCATGGGACTCCCCAAAAGCAACTAAGAGATATGGCACTCCTTGGACCCAGCTGGAGTATCATCCCTAAATGAGGGTGGACCTAGACATGTGGGGAACCCCTCTTTGGATTCTTTTTTTTTTTTGGTACTGGGGATCAAACTCGGGACCTTCCGCTTCAAGGCAGGCGGCGGAACCGCTGAGCTAACTCCCCTCCGGATTCTAATACTGCTTTTCTGCCTAGGTAAAGAAGCTGGTCCCACGGAGAGTGGCATCTCTGGAATCAGGTGGGTGCCTGGGGATCCTGGGGTTGGGGGTGCAGTCTGGGAAACCCACCAATCCAGGGGCCTATGAACATCTGCATTTCTCCCAGTGGTTTAGCTCTCCATAGGAGCTCGCTTCTCTGTGGATCAGGGCCTGGTAGGATCCTGAATATGTGGGTCAGTTTGCAGCTGTTTATATGTGAAGGCTTCTTTGTGTGTCTTGAGAGGGTGACAGCCTATGGATGGACCTGTGTAAGTCCATGAGACTGGGTGTGTGTTTGTGTGTCTTATTAGTGTGTCAGTGAATAGCTCTGTTGTGTGTGTCTGTGTCCGTAAAGATGTGACCTTTTATCTCTGAATGCACTACTTCACAAATGCAAGAATACGTATGTTGGGCCGGGGATTTAGCTCAGTGGTTCCGGTGCCTGCCTCGAAAGCGCAAGGTCCCGAGTTTGATCCCCGGTACCAAAAAAAAAAGAATACATATGTTATATTATTAAAATAGTGGGGTGTGGATTTAGCTCAGTGGTTCTGCCACCTGCTTCGCAAGTGCAAGGTCCCAAGTTCGATCCCCAGTTCAAAAAAAAAAAGTAGGAACTAGGCCAGGAGGCATGTGCTTGTAATTCCAGCACTCTGGAGGCTGAGGCAGGAGGATAGTGAGTTCAAGCGAGTCTGAGGCCAGCCTAGGTTACATAAAGAGATCCTCTCAAAATAACCAAGCAAAACCAAAAATTTAATAATAGAATTGAGGGGCAAGTTGTTCAGTGATAGAGTACTTGCCTCTTGTATGTAAGGCCCTCTGTTCAAGCCCTCATAACTACAAAAAAATAACAAGACAATGAATACTCACATTCTGTCATCCAAAAAAGAACATACAGCCAGTAGTTTGTGTACCCCTTTCTTTCTGTCCACCACTGCTCCCAACCACAAGGTAACCACTATTTTTGTTTTTTGTTGTTTTTTTTTTTGTACCGGGGATGGAACTCGGGTCCTTGTGCTTGCGAGGCAGGCGGGGGAACCACTGAGCTAAATCCCCCACCCACCACTATTTTGAATTATGTTTATAATTCCCTTGAGTTTGTAAGTTTTCTTATTTACATAAATCTGTGTCTAAACAATGTATCAGTAAATTTATTTTTGCTTGTTTTTGTGCTTTATAAAAGGTAGCCTATGTTATAGCCCTCTGGGCCTGTCTTCAGTCAACATTGTTTCTAAGATCCACGTATGTTATGTGTAGATGTAGTTCACATCTTTCTTTTTGTGTTTTTTTTTAAGACAGTCTGCTATGTAATCCATACTCACCTTGAACTCACTATGTGGTCCAGGATGGCCTTGAAGCCATAACAACCTTCCTTCCTTAGCCTCCTGATTGCTGGGATTACAGGTGTGGGCTACCATGCCTGAGTTTTTATTTTTAATTAAAAAAATATTTTTTTACTAGTATGTTTGCCAAACATAATAAATACATTCATCGTTGCCTATCTGACTTTGCGGTAGCCAGTTCTGTGTCTTCCAGACCCAGGGTTTACTTTTATTTTTGCTTTTACTTTTTTCCTCTCTTTTGTTCAGCCCAGGTTCTCTGGGCAGAGCCAGTTGCTCCCTTACCACTTCACCCCGCATTTTTCAAATAAAGTTTGGCACTGTTAAAAAATGAATAAGTGAATTCTTCATGGGGAACTGGTATGTGTGTGTGTGTATCTCATCTTGATCCTTTTTACTTCCTCTTCCTCAACTCTCTTTCCCACCTCCCCCCATCCTCAGATCCCCTTCCCATCTCCATGCAGTCTATCTTCCTGTTTCCTATCACTTACCTTTTATTTTGTTCTTTAAATAATTTATACTTTGGGTTTCTCATATAAGAGAGACAATGCAGTATCTATTTAACTTTCCTTGTCTGATGTATTCACTTAGCATTATAGACTGAGGGTACATCCATTTTCCTACAAATCGGCTATAAACTTGAGTGTGCATGTATCACTGTAATATGATGACTGTAACTTTTGTAGGAAGATACCCACAAGAGGTAAAGCTGGGTTGAATGGGATTTCTATTTTCAGTTTTTAAAATTTTTATAATTGTGAGTACATGTTTGCAGTACATGATTATATTCATTGTTAGGGGTTGGTACATATACATATCACATTTTTTTTTTTTGGTACCAGGGATCGAACTTGGGACCTGGTGCTTGTGAGGCAGGTGGTGGAACCACTGAGCTATATCCCTGCTACATATCACATCTTAATTCTTTCTTCATCCCCTTTCCCTCCTTGCTCTTTTGTTTTGGTACTGGGGATTGAACCTAACCTAGGACCTCATGCTTGCCGGGCAGGCTGTCCCACTGAGCTAAATCTCCAGCCCTCCCTCCCTGCCCTTGATTTACATTTTTCAGATGGCCAGAGGTGCTGTACCTATTTTTTCATGTACCTATTGGCCATGTATACTTCTTCTTTTGAGAAATAAGTGTCTATTCATTTTTCATGTACCTATTTTTCATGTACGTATTGGCCATTTGTACTTCTTTTGAGAAATAAGTGTCTATTCATTTTAATTGCCTATTTTTTGATTGGGTCTTTTATTTTCGGGAACCTAATTAAAAAATTTTTTTTCTATATTCTAGATATTAGTATAATATATAAAGAAAAATTAGTAGAATATTAGCAGGTTGGCTCTTTACTCTGTTGGTTGTTTCCTCTGTTGTGCAGAAGCTTTTTGATAGGATCCCATTTGTTGATTGCTAATGCTATTTCTTGTGCAGTTGGGGTTCTGTTCAGAAAGCCCCTGGCTTTATTTTCCAACAGATTCATTGCTTCTGTTTTTATATCTAGGCCTTTGATCCATTTTGATTTGATTTTAGTACAGAGTGAGACGTATGGGTCTCTATTCACTCTTCTACATGTGGATAGCCAGTTTGTCGAGCATGTGTTAAAGAGGTGATCTTTTCTTCAGGGTATCTTTTTTTCCCCTTTGTTGAAGATCAGATGGCTGAAGGTTATGGGGTTGTTTCTGCATCATCAGTTCTGTTCCCCTGATCATCATGTCTATTTTTGAGCCAGTTCTGGCTTTAGATGTTCATTTCTTTCTCTCTACTGTATAATATTCCTGGTAGGAAATTTATCATAATTTATATATCTGGTCTCCTGATGTTAGATTATTTTTGTTGTTTCTATCTTTTTACTATTTCAAATAGCATTGTTTTGAACATTCTTATCTCTGTCTTTGGGTGTATAGACACAGTAGTATCTCTAGGGTATAATCTAGGAATGGTATAGCTAGATTGCATGATAGGCAAATGTTCAACTTTTGGGTTTTTTTTTTTTTTTTTTTTGGTACTGGGGATGGAACTCAGGTCCTTGTGCTTGCGAGGCAGGCAGCAGAACCACTGAGCTAAATCCCCAAGATCTGAAGTGGTGTACAGATCATAACTTACTGACTACTGGTCTAAATAATATAAGGCAAAGATTGTCAGAGTGAAATAAAACCAACGTCTCTTGTACATACATTGTGTACAAAAGAGAATGAAATACTGACAAAAGATATACCACAAAATAGTTACCATAAGAGCAGCAAAAAAATCAGACAAAACAAGTTTTGTTTTTGTTTTTTTTGATACCGGGGATCGAACTCGGTTCCTTGCGCTTCCGCTGCAGGCAGCGAAACCACTGAGCTAAATCCCCGGCCCTAAAACAAGTTTTAAAACAGGAAGAATTACTAGATTTGAGAAGGCTGGGCATGGTGACGCATGGCTATAATCCCAGCACTATGGGAGGTTGAAGCAGAAGGATCAAAAATTCAAGCCCAGCCTGGCAACATAGAAAATAATAAAACTTTAAAAGGGCTGGGAATATAAATCAGTGGGAAGAGTTTAATCCTCAGTACCACAAATAAAACAGTTAAGATGGTATATGTTTGAGTTTTTACCAGATATGGCTGAGATGAAAAGAATTATAAAAGAATACTATGGGGCTGGGGATTTAGCTCAGTGGTTTCACCGCCTGCTGTGCAAGGGCAAGGACCCGAGTTTGATCCCCGATACCAAAAAAAAAAGATTATATAAATTTACAGAAAAATTTTACCAGCTTTCAAAGAAAGATGATTCCTATCTCTTTTTTTTGGTACTGGGGGTCGAACTCAGGACCTTGTGCTTGTGAGGCAGGCGGTGGAACCACTGAGCCCTGGCCTGATTCTTATCTTTTTTTTTTTTTTTTTGGTACCGGAGATCAAACTCGGGTCCTTGCGCTTGCGCAGCAGGTGGTGAAACCACTGAGCTAAATCCCCAGCCCCTATGATTCTTATCTTATATAAGATCTAAAAGATGGTAAAAACAAAACATGTACTTCTTAGCTCCCTGTGGGTCTGGTATAGGTCTGATGAAGAAAATGGAAAGAAATGCAAAAATCTTAAGAAACATTGAGGAGGTACTTCAGCAAAATTGCAAAGATAATAAACCATGACCAAGCTGGATTTCTTCCAAGAGTGCAACAGTAGCTTAGAAAGCTACAAACGTCATTCATCATACATTGAAAGATTGAAGGAGAAAAGCCATATAATCATTTCAAAAGATTCAGATGAACAATTTGGAGCCAGGTATGTTAGCTCAGGCTTATAAATAATCCTAGCCTGGGCAATTTAGTGATTTAGCAAGACCCTGTTTCAACAATCAAAAATAGGGCCGGGGACTTAGCTCAGTGGTTCTACCGCCTGCCTCGCAAGCACAAGGACCTGAGTTCAATCCCTGGTACCAAAAAACAAAACAAAACAAAAAAAACCCAAAAGTAGCCTGGTGTGGTGGCACACACCTGTAATCCCAGCAGGAGGCTGAGGCAGGAGGACTGCCACAGATTTGAAGCCAGGCAGGACAACGTATCGAGTTGAAGGCCAGCCTGGACTACAGAGGGAGACCCAATCTCAAAAAGCTACCCTCCCCAAATTGTTTGTCTGAATCTTTTTTTTGTTTTTTTTTACTGGGGATCAAACTCGGGTCCTTGTGCTTTCGAGGGAGGCGGTGAAACCACTGAGCTAAATCCCTGGCCCCTGTCTGAATCTTTTGAAATGATTAAAAATTTAAGGATGACTTAATTTTTCTTGTCTCAGCAAGTGGTAAATAGGGAAGATGGGGAACAGCCGAAAAGGGGCAGGTGCTCAGGTTTGGATGTCCAGTGTGTGATTCCAAATGGGAGTAATGGGAGGGTCGTGGGACATGAGTCTGCAGTTCAGGGAGGAGGAAGGGGGTAGAGAGGGAAACTTGGGAGTCATTGCTTATTGATGATATTTAAACCTCTAAAACTGGGTGAGATCTCAGGGAGTAAATGAGATAGAGAGGATGAAGTTTAAGGTTAGATTGAAAGGGAAAAAGTTGTAGCCGAGGTCTAGGAAAGAGATGAGAGCAGAACCAGGAAGCATTCATGGGCAGTAAGGAGGGGACAGGTCTTAGGGGAGAGTGGATTAAAACTTAGTATAAGAGGGCCAGGGATTTAGCTCAGTGGTTTCGCTGCCTGCTGCACAAGTGCAAGGACCGGAGTTCGATCCCCGGTACCAAAAAAAACAAAACAAAACAAAAACTTAGTATAAGAGCTGGTGGTACACACCTCTAATCCCAGTACTCTGGGAGGCTGAAGCAGGAACAAGCACAAGTTTAAGCCCAGCCTGGCTTGACAACTTAGTAAGACCCTGTCTCAATAAAAATGGGCCAGAGATGCAGCTTGTGCAAAGGCCCTGGGTTCAGTCCCCAGTACTGAAGAAAAAATAAAGCAGGCTATGGAGCCATCTCCTGCAGTCTGCCCTGATAGCTCTCTGCTAGGTGTCCCTTTGGAATGCTCCCATAGTTTCCTAAACCCAAGTGGTCAGCTTTCCATACTGTGAGCTGATTCTGTCCACAGTCCCTTGCCCAGAGCCAAGATGGGGCCAGTGACTGTTAGGTGGATGGAACACATGCTTTCCTACTCTGTCTTCTCAGTTCCTACTAAGGAACCAAAGAAACTGATGGCCAGAAGATCCCTCCTTACTGTCAAGAAGTTGATGACAGCTCCCTCTGGGCCCAGCAAAGCCAAGTGAGCAGCAGGGGGGGGTGGGGGAAGAAGGGTGCAGAGGAAGTGCCCCTCCCTGCTCACCTCCCTTAGGGTCTGACGGGGATGTGTTCCAGGACGCCCTGTGGGGACAGTCAGAAGCGCCTCTCCCGAGATGCAGGTAAGGAGGGCTTTCTTCCTCCAGTGGGAGGGGGTGGGGCTGGAAGATGGATAGGGTGGCATCGCTGAGGGACAGAGATGGGGAGAGTCTGGGGGTTGGGGTGGGTCCCTCAGTTCTGCTCTCATAGGCTCCAGTGGCAGATTCCTCAGTGGGGGTCCAGGGCAACCTGGCAGAAAGCGATCCAAAACCCAGGCTCCCCGGCAACACTCTGCACCCAGTCAGGTGAGAGGCCGAGACACGGGTGGGTAGGGTGCTAGGCAGAGGTTGGTTCCCAGAGGTGTGGTGTGCAAGGGTGAAGGATCCTAGCCAAGGGGAACCAGACTTGAACCTTCTAGGGTATCCAGGCCTCTGCTGAGACCTTGTCCCCATCACCGCAGGGAGATCACAGCAGCTTGACAAAGGCCCCTTGTGTGACTAGAGCCCCGACACTGGACAAGACCTCCACCAGAGAGAAGACCCCCTCTCCAAATAAGGCCCGAAACCCAGCGAAGATCCCAACCTCTGACAAAGTCTCCACCCCACAGAAGACCCTGACTCTGGACAAGAACTCCACTCCAGAGAGGGTCTTTTCTGTGGATAGGGCTCCTGCCCTACAAGTTCCACCTAAGGATGAAGCCCTTGGCCCAAAGGTGACCTCCACCCTAGAAAAGCTCATAACCCCAGAGCAGGTGCTTCCAGAAGAAGTCTCCCTGGGAAAGTGCACTCTATCCCAGCGCTTCTCTCCTGAGCAAAGCCTGCAGGGGGCCCAGTCCCTGGGGACCATGGGGGCTCAACCCCAAGCGGAGGTCCCCATGTGAGAGGAAGCTCCCCTGCAGCCTAATTCCTCAGAAAGATGCTGCTGTCTTTCCCTCTTCCAAGGGGAGTCCAAGTTCCAGCCAGGGTCCGTGCCTGCCCTTGAGAAGGCCTTGTCCCTGGAAGAGGCCGCAGCCCTCCAGGAGGAGGCACCTGCAAAAGAGGAGCCTACCCCAAAAGACTCTAAAGAGGTGGCTCCCAAAGAGCAAATAGCCCCTGATCCCCATACTCCACATGCTATCAAGCAGACTCCAGACCCCCAGAAGACTCCCACCCTCCACTCCCTGGTTGTGCAAAACTCTGGAAACAAGAATGATGGCGTGGACGTGATGTCGCTAATGCACGAGGTGACATCTCTCAGGAGTGCGCTGGAACGTCTGGGGCTGGAGCTGGAGTAAGAGGGTGGGGACGGGGGTGGGGTGGCCCTGAGGAGAAGGGAAGGGCCGCCTACCCTCACTTGGGCCTGGTGTCCGCAGAAGGAAGATAACTGAGGTCTGGGAAGAGCTGAAGAGGGAGAGGGAAAGCGCAGCTTGCTGGAGGTGGGTGGAGAGCCCTCCGGGGTAGGGGAGGGGCCGGCCGTGTGCGCTCTGACGCCCTCTCCTGACTAGGTTCAGATGATGCAGAGGACCCAGAAGTCCCCAACGGGGGACTCCAAACGCGCAGACGCAGTGAGACCATCGGCCCAAGCAGGGGGGACGCCTGGCTCGGGCCACCCGCATCCTTGCACTCGGCTTTGGAAGACGCAAGAAAGTAAACTCTGGGTGGACGTGCTGAGTCCGCCCGGTCTGTGCGGGGCGGGGCCTGGCCGTGGGCGCTAGCGGGGCCTCCGCATTCCTGGCGGTCTCTCCCCGGCACATCTGGCCAACATGTGGCTCCGATTACCGTTCCCAAGGCCTGCACGGCTATTTTTATCCATTGGATGGTGGGGGTTGGGGGTGAAGTGTGTCTCCACTGGAGACGCGGCGAGCAGGAGGGGCCAGCGGCCGGATACCGGAATCCAGCTGCGCGGTCGGGAGGGGCCAAGTGCACCTTCTACCCTGCCTGGACGCCCTCCCTGGTGACCTCACTGTCCGTCCACGGGTGCTCTTGGCCCCTCAAGATACTTGGACGCATCTTGGCCCAGACGTCAACGCCACTGGCCCCAGGCACACATGGTTTTAGGTTACACTGGGGCTAATAGCACCTTGAGGTTAGGGTCCCCAGGCCCGGTGTGTGGTCGCGATGATGCTTGTGCCAGGGCACAGCGGGGACTGGGCAAAGCGTGTCCAGGTACTTGGCGGTAAGGAATGCACTTGTGAGGAATGTGAGACAGTTACTGCGTGTGCCAGACAGGAGGTGTGTGCTTCTCTCTGGATCTATGAAGGGAACACAAGGATGTGTGTGCAGCGGGCAGGTAGGTGGTGTGACTTAGTAAAGGAGTCAAGTAGGGACTCGGCCCTGGGACCCCTAGGGACAGAGGTAACGGAGAGACGGAGTCACCAAGAATGTAGCTTTCATTGGTCACTGTTTCCTAGAGAAGGTGGCGACCTTGCAGACCCCGCCCCCGCCCCCAGGGCCTTCAGAAAGGATGGGGAGGGTGCCTCCCAAGGCAGAGGTCCAGGCCCGTAGCACCACAGGGATTTGGGGGGTCAGAGGCAGTCCTAAAGTCCTGGAGCAGCTCTGGGCTCAATTGCAGTCCAGTGCTTAGGCAGCCCAGGCATCAGTAATAATGCATGCGGCCCAGCGTGCTCTGGCCGGGACCCAGCGTGCCGGTGCCCAGCAGGTCGGGCTGTCCGGTGCGCCAGATCTCCCGCAGGATCCGCTCGCGCTCCTCCAGCCGCTGTGCGCGCTCCAGCTCCTCCGCCGACGTGAAGACGTTGACGCTGAGGGGCCCGTCGGGCTCCGAGGACAGCTCAGGGCCGGGCAGCGTGTCGTCCGGACCCAGCCGGGTCATCGTGTCCTCATCCTCCTCGTCCTCATCGTCGGGCTCCAGGGTGCTGCGGGGGTCTCGGCAAGGAGCGGGGCCCCGGGGCCGCGGGCGGGGCGCGCAGGAGATGCTGATGACCAGGAGGCACAGGGTGAGCAGCAGCCCAAAGCAGACGCCGAGCACGAAGTAGAGCCCAAAGCTCTCGGGGTTCGCTGGGGGCAGAGGGCAGAGGTCATGAAGGGGCCCTGGTGGGCGGGAGTCTTCCTTCTGGGAAAGACTCCAAGGTCTAGGTTTGGGGAAAGGACCGTAACCCCCGTTGAAGGACAGTGGGGAACCGGCAACGGGCAGAGAGGGTGGGGGCGCAGAGGGAGGAGGGGGAAGGCCGTGCCCCCTGGCTCGAAGCCTGCCTCACCGCGGATGTGCGCGTAGGCCGCCAGGCTGTTGCTGAGCAGCTCCATGTCCCTTCGGGGGGCATCCATGCTGCTCGGGGTGCTGCTCCCAGGCCAGCCTGCGGGGTCAGCGAGGTCAGCTCCTCCCCAGCCTGGAGCGGACCCTGCCTCACTCCCTCCTCGGGCAGCTCCTCTCTCCGAGGAGCCGCCCCAGCTTCTACCCCGGGGCCAGCAGTTCCCTAACTTCGTTGCAGATCCGGGCCCCGTTAGAGGGAGTCCTTCCTCTAGGCGCCAACGCCCCTCATCCTGGGGGGCAGCACCGGCCCGTCCCCTGGGGGGGTCCCTCGTGAGGCCGGGTCTCGCAGTCTTGCAGCGGGATGGAGGGCAGAGACCGCGCCGGCGTGGGATAGCGCCTCCCACACCCGTCCAGCCCGCCCGCGGGGGCCCAGCGCCCCGGCCACTCACGGTCAGCGCCCCGCTCCCCGGGTGCCGGGCCCCGGCGGGTCCCGCGTCCGTCCCGGCGGCCGCATACAACCGGGCCCCGCGGCTCCCGCCCCGTCCGGTCCCGCCCGGCCCAGCTCGGCTCCCGAAGGCGGCAGCGCAGGCCGGACCCGGGCGATGGACCCGAGGGCGGAAAGTTTCCTCGGAGGAAAGAGGA